CGACCGTGATTCGAAAAAAAATCTTAATAGAGGTATGGCACCACAGTACCTGTCTGGCTCCAAGGTTCAGCTTATAGTGGAAGCAGAAACAGGGATACACAATCAAGTGTAAAACTGAAGTGTGAATTCCCGTGCCAGCTGGTTGAATTACTGGTCTCATTAAAAGATAATAAACTATCAAATGTAATGTTGAGCTGCTTGCAGAAATAAACATTACACATTTGTATTTCAGGGTAGCACTATTATGATCATATAAAAACCACAAAGGGTTAGGGCTGCTCAATTAATCGAATTTTAATCTCGATTACGATCTGGGCTTTCAACGATCATTAAAAATGACTGAGCCGATTATTAGCACCTCCCTCGTGCTTTACTCTCGCGCTGAACACGCGTCACAACAATTAAGAGGACCCGGGGGAAGCTCGGAAAGCTAAGCAGAAGTTATTTGGAGAGGAGAGTGACTGCCGTTGGTTGAAAAGAGAGGTAAAAAAAAAAAAAACTTCAGTGGTGTGGAAACATTATGGGTTCACGGAGTCAGACGTGGATCAAGTAGACATAGTTTGTACGTAGCTGCACCACAGAGCAACACTACAAAGTTCACTAAACATAGATGTTTACATTTTTCATTCATTTCTTATATTGCAAACATTTGCACTGTTATCAGTATTCGCACACTATTTTATATTATTTTTTGTCTTTTTTTAAAGTCATTATTCAATACATTGTTATTGTTAAATAAATATCGTCAAATAATCGAGATCTCAATTTCAGTGAAAATAATGGTGATTATCAGTTTTGCCATAATCGAGCAGCCCTACAAAGGGTCATACAAAACCTTGTGCTAAAATGATGACTTTGTTTTTTTTAACATTTAAATTGTCATTAAGCTACAAAGACATCAAAAGTTTATGATATTTCTTGTTTGTTTGTTTTGGGGTTTTTTCCATAAGGTAGCAGTAATGCAACTACAAGCTACAAACAAGAAAAACATAAGGAGCATGTTGAGATGCTACCAGTAAAATTGGATTAGATACTCATTTGCAACAGTATTGATACTAACAGTGCAGTCTTTGCTTCCTCCAGTTGACACACAGCTTCACACCACCCCTGAATCTGAATCACAGGCAGGCATTGATTCAGCCCCTCCCCTCAGCTAGCAGCTGAACACATGAACCAGCTAGCAGCTAAACACATGCACACCATCAAGACAAATTTAGCAAAGCAATGTTAAAGACCATCACCCCAGTCTTTATGAAGAATTTTGTTAGATCAGTAAAGCTCCTGTTTGAACAACATTTAAGTATTAAACAGTTCTACATGTTAACTTGCATGGCACACACTTTGTTAATGTTAACCAACAGTCGCACTAGCTATCCTTCTGCTAGCATGGCTACACAATGAAAAATCCATTAATATTTCTTACACTCTGAGTCACACCTGCTTTATTTTAAGGACCAAAGCTTTACTCCACACAGCTCTTATAATTCCTAAATCCTTATTACTCTGCTCTAATTATCTTTCAGTGTTTGGATGATTAAAACTGAGGCTCTCATCTGTTTTGCTAGACAGTCAGTGAATCTGGGCACGAGGCCATATTTCTGCAAAAGCCGAAAAGGGGAGTACAAACCGAAAGCTTAGATCACACACACTTGCTGTTACACTTTAATGATGAAATACAGAGCATATCCATATTATCTTTGCTTTACATTTCATAGACCCTACACTCGATTATAATGAAGATTTTTCTCCCAAGTGTGTCAAGAGATGATTTTAAATGAGAAGTTCATCCCCTGCAGGGCTCCTATAATTGAAAATGACAAAGTTAAGATCAGCATACATACGTGAAAGATATGAAATTAAAACATCTGCATTGTCCATGTTGCTGGGGCTTTGAAGAGTAATGTTTTGATAGGACCTGTTCTACTTCACAAGTTATACTGGGAACTGAGGTCAAGTGATATTTAATAAAAACAGATACACAGCATGCTTGATATATGGCTGTACTAACAATAACCCCACACAAACTGCGCATCGCCATTAAACTGCCACCAGCCTGCCAGAGCATCGCAGGGTTCGCATGATTTTATAAAGAAGGCTGAAGTAATATAAGGCAGCACAGTGTAGTTTCCATTAGCTAGTGAATTTTACAGCGAGACTCAAAGAAATATAATTAAGATTAACTGGAGAAGACATCCAGCTACAGCTGGTGAGAAAAAAAATGGCTTTCCGTGCATCCAGAGAAGCTAATTTGTCTTCTGAGACTGTTTACTAAAAATAAGACTACTCTCTTGATTTCTGTGAAAAACAAACTCCTTCCCATAGAGGCTACACCTCACTCTCAGGGGCAGGCTGTGCTGCAGCCTTGATGGTTTGATCCCCAGCCCTTCCATGTGTTGAAGTATCCTTGAGCGAGATAGTGAACCCAAATTTGTTTCCAGTGGCAGGTGAACACCTTGCATGGCAGCTCTTCTGCCACTGGTGAGTGAATGAGAAACACACAAATTGTAATCCACGTACCTTTTGCCTGGGTTTCAGAATAAACTGGATTTTTATTTTGTTGGTTCAGTTTCAGATTTCTGTCAGGATATTACTGGCTCATGCTTCATGCTAAATATACTGTGCTGTCAGTCTTTGTTCAGATCATCATTACTCTCTAGGTTCAGGCTTTTCTGTAACATTGAACTCACATCAGAATTGTGTGGCTAAGGTTTTTAAGGGTCACAAATATAAAAGCTATATTTTTATTTCAAGTGACATCATTTAGGGCAGATTATCAGATTTTTAAAAGACCAATGACTCTTCAGTCACAAACATTTCTTTACCTATACGCAGAAGTTTGTGTCTTGTAAATCGTCATACAAGTTACAAGACTTCACTTCATACACACTTGCATGCCACTTCATTTCGCGTGCCAGTTCACCAGCTTGTTAAGGCAAATATTCAATCTGCCAATCACACAGCCACAAGCCCCAACATTTAGGCATGTAGACTTGTCCAGGATGACTTGCTGAAGTTCAAACCAAACATCAGAACAAGGAAGAAAGATGATTTAAATGACTTTGAACGTGGCGTGGTTGTTATTCCCAGACAGACTGGTCTGAGTATTTTAGAAAATGATAATGTGCTGGGATTTTTTCACACTATCGTTGCTAGATTTTATAGAGTATATAGAGTGGGGTCTGAAATTATCCAGTGAAGCTGCAGTTCTCTGGGTTAAAATACCTCAATGATGGCAGAGGTGAGAGGACAAAGGCCAGTCTGCTTTCATCTGATAAAAAGGTAAGAGTAACTCAAACAGCCACTCGTTAGAACAAAGGTATGCAGAAGAGCATCTCTCTGTCTGAACCAGATGGGCAGCAGACACCGCAGCAGAATACCACACTATAGACAATAGAAGACTGGAAAAACTTTGCCTGGTTTAGAAAGTCTCAACATCTGCTGTGATATTCAGATTATAGGGTCAGAATTTGGCAAGCAATATGACAGTATGGATCCATCCTGCCTTGTATCAATAGTTCAGGATGGTGTTGATAGTGATGTAATGTGTGTGTGTTCATTAGTAATGAAGTGGCAGTTGATTGTTTGTGGAGCATTCTGGAAAAACCAAAATATTTCTACTGTTTTCTAATGGTAAACACATATAAAGTGTCTTTGCACACTTCCTGAAAACAAGACAGAATAAGTTAAATAAAGTAAGGAAAGTACTGAAGTGGGAATTTTGTGCACAGTTTTAAAATGGTTTGGTCATTTTTGTCTGAATCAGCTTGCTGACAATAGGAATCTGCTTTGTGTTATTTCAGAGATGTTCGCCATTGGATGTCACTGCACCCTGTGACTTTTATGGTGTTTTACTTTGAATCAGAGGAATCGCTACTTTAAAGACCAAGCCACACCAAATATTATCCCCTCTGTGTTGTGACACTTTCTGCCACCACCTGTAGTAATAATGATTTGATATTTCATTGATCCCTGCGGGGAAATTTTCCGTCCACTCTCAGTTGATGTAAAAGGTCAGAGCGCAGAGGCCACTGTGAGCCTGAAGCTGCCGGAGATTTGGTGACACGCTCACAGGCTTTTCAGCAGAGCAGATGCATGAAAGAAGAAAAGTATCACTACTCACAACATCACAACCCGGACTGATAGTATCATGCGTCCAGGTTGTGAACCCACTTATTAATGTTTGACACTATATCACTGGAATCAGACTTATTTGCACAGCAAAACCAAATAAATAAATCCTGGTCTTTCACTACAGCTATAAAACTGCAGCAGGTGCACAGAAAGAGAATAATAGCAGCCCTTTTAAGCACTTCATTTCTAACAGATTAGCAGAAAGAGCACAAACGCAAACAGGTGGCAAGTGTGAGCAGCAAACCCATCTTTCCAGTGAACAATAAACCTTTTATGCCACAGAAATGTCAGGACTTCAAAGGCTTTTGCTGATACTGTCCTGTCAACACTCTTTCACATTCCACATATCCAATTTAACAATCAAATGAGCTGCATGAAAAAAAAAATCGTCAGCTATTTTTAGCAACGCTGAACTCCTTTGCATTATTTCCTTTCTTTTGCACTTTGTCCTTGATGTTTATATTGTGATTTACGGTTTCTTTATAGACAGAGTAACGAATGCAAAATGTGATACATGTTGTGACCATTCACCTTTAGTAACATGGGTCTGTCTGTAGGTCACTCGCACCTCACCTGTCCAGATTTGACCCTGCAGCGGCGTCACAGAATCTGACGCAGACCTGCTGTGACACCTTTACGGACACACGGAGACAGGCAGGTCAGACAAACCGTCTGACTGATATAAAGACGGACTTGGCTGGACAGTCCACCGGACCGCTTCTCACACTGAGGTCTGTATTGACCGTAGCGCATTCCTACGGATCGCCTTCATCCACGCAGCACACGGCTGTGCGCGCCAACATCCAGCAGCAGCACGAGACGCAGGTTTCAACCTGTTAGCACAGACCAGGCATGTAGTGTCTCCTTACCTTTTACTCTCGTCTCCTTTGACATAGTGTCCTCTCCCTTGTGTTTCTGTCAGTCTGCGGCCACTCAGCAATGCTGTCACGTTATTCTCCGTTTATACACCGTTTCGTCGGATAGTTAATTGAACATCGGCTCTTCCTCTGTCCCCTCTCTCCTGGCTGCTGCACCTTGACGCTTGCCAGGCTGAATCAGGGTGAAGTGGGGCACGGGGAGGTCTACAGCTGCCTCATCGGTCTCCTCTCAGCGATGAGATGAGAAAATTAAACAAAATAGCCAAAAACAGGAGAAATCTGCAGCTGTGTTCTCATTCACCTGAGTCAAGACCCTCGGAGCATCGACCCGCCCCTCCGCAGACATACTTTGGCTATGTGGTGTATCTGTGCAGACTTGGCTCACATGTCATGCCCACCCAGCTCCCGTTCCTCTCTCCTCTCCGCCGCTAACAGCAGCCAGAGTTGTGCCAAAGCTCCGGTCTGCAGCTTGACTGCCTCCAGCGGTGCGCGCACGTCCGCGGCTGCTGAAGGGCGTCCGTCTTCCTCTTCCTGTGTCCGTTTTCTGTCTGTGCAAAACACTCAAGGAGGACCCTAAATGGAGACCTATAAAGCAGCTGGTCCATTGCTTTTCTCATGCCTGGAGCCGTAATGAAAAAGCAGTTTACCAGCTATATTGTCACTGGGACGACACATTTAATTAGCCAAGGCAGTTTAAATCAGTTTTATTTAATCTATCATGCCAGAAGCCTTTGCAGAAATTACACATACTTTGTAAGAAAGCTTGCTGCATTTGTGTGCTGGGGTCCCAAAAGTCCGGTTTAAAAAAAGAACAAGGCACAGCTTTAATGAAAGAGTAGAACAAAATACACAGAATATTAAATGTAAAGTAGATTAAAGTCTTTCTGCAGTGTCATACAATCTGGTTTTGCTGTATAGAGTCTGGCTGTAAGCAAAAATAAATAAATTAAAATAGAAATTTTGATATGGAAAACATGTGTGGCATAAAGAAGAAGAGCATGGGGGCGCAGTGAAACAGGATGGAGGGGAAGAGTGAGCACCCCTTTAAACCATCCATCACAAAGCAGCAGATGCCAGATTGGTCGGTCAGCTTGGGCAGTCACTCAGGCAGAGAAGCAAATCTTTTGGGCTTTGAGAAGTGCTTCAAAATACAACCAACCATCAAAACAAAGCACATGGGTGAAGCACATGAACCACATTTCTCTCAGCAGCTTTAAATCCTTTAAATCCAGTTGTGAGATCTGGCTTAATCTCACAGATGCTTCACCTAATGGATTCCTCTAATTCATTTCTACGCTTATTTCAACCTCCAGTCCTGCGATACTTGACCCGAATAGCTGCAGAATAGCTTCCCTCACGTTTCTTTATGGTGCACATTAAGCAGCAGTGTGTCAAGTGGTCACAGTAACACCTGCTGTTTTCAACACTCGCATCCACATATGTGACCACACATGAGCTTACACAGTCCCTTAAGGATTGTCTGGTTGTGGCATTAATCGGCAGTCACGTCCACACAAATGAATATTGATGGGGGAAATGGTGATGGCCGAACCATCACCCTAGAATAAGACAGCCAAACATTCTACATTACCAGACTCTACTAGGAATACACACAGCCAATTTGTATTTATCATGGAAGCCAATACCAATACACTTCTGGTGTAGAACAGTGAGTTGCAATCCCTACTAAGGAAAACTAATAGGGAAAAGCCTTAAGGCCAGGAAGACAGGAAGACAGATAGCTCTGATTACACCAAATGGCAGCACTGCCTGAATCCAAGAGGAAAAGAAAGGCTAATTGAATTATGTGAATTTCTTTTGTAAGAAGACTTCTCTTCATGCCATTGGAGACACAACTCAAAGCAGCACTTTGCTTCTCAACAGTGGCTTTTGATGTTATTTGATGTCAGTATTCAGTAAGAAATATTTTACTGAACCATACAATTATATAAAAGAAACAGATCTCTGTGGCAATTCAGAGCCAGTCTAGGCACTGAAAATTCATTGTAAACATGACTAAAGTCTTACAAAGTAAAGTCAGAAAGAAACTCAATCACACTAAATGTTTTTGTTGGTATAAACACTGCAGGGGTTTTGAAAAATGGATGAAAGAACTGTTTCAGCAGCATTAAGCTTTCTGGGAGCCATTAAAAGACTCACAAACTACAGTGCAGGCAGTCAGCAAACTGAATTTAGCACCCAAGGTGCAGATTTGTTGTTCTTTTCTGTCTTTAAAAAATAATCCAGCAACCTTATGGAAGGAAAGGCACCGTGCTGTATGTCACAGCACTCTCACACAAGGTGAAGTTGTCAGCTGGCTGTTTTTATCCTAATGTGCTGTTTGATGATGTGGCTTGCTGTTTCACACACATGCAGATATACTTACTATTCTACTGTTTAACCCTACAATTCACTGTTGCTGTGACCCTTTTGTCCTCTTTATCATATTAGCAGCTTTAGAGAAGTACTGTGATCCAATAGGAATGAATTGGAGGTTTAGAAGAGAACTGAACTGTTGTTTAACCAGCAAGTCTCTTGTCATTAAAATCTATATTTTAAAGGAGACATGGCCTACAGGGCACACCACTATAAAGTTATGAAAATAATAAATTAAGACATAATTAAAACATACAAAGAAAAAAAGAAAATGACTTAAAATAGGAAAGGAACAAAATACAATTCAAGCTTAGGAATAGTATTTTTACTCCTTGGTTGTTTTTTTTGTTTTAAATAAGAGACTTATATTCTTCCATGCAATGTTGATGGACAGGTTGACTGATGAGGATGCAGGAGTGTCCATGGTTCACAGATGACAATGTGATCTGTAGGGAGTCAGTGAAAGAAATCCTGGAGAAGTGGAGGTATGCACTGGAGAAAAAAAAAGGAATGGCAGTCAATATAAGCAACATAACTGTAATGAGAGTAAAAAGCTATTAAATATAAATTCAACACTTTTAATCCGCTTCCGATATCATGTCTGCTTCATTTGCTGTGAAATCTCAAGGAAACAAGCTTTCCAATTAATCATCCAATTCATATTTTCTTCTTCTGGAGTTCAGGTATAACAGTAAAAACACTCCACAGTTTCATTGTTCATTATTCATATAAAACACAACTATTATAGGTATTATGAATTGATTTTTAATGTAGTGAACGTATTTACAATTGTAACCTGAGTAAATTACACTGGGGTGCAAAATGACTTACGTCTACTTCCTGTAAGTACATTTAAGGCTAGCTTATTATTTAACCTTTGCAAATGATATTAAATTCTTATCAAATGTAGTTGTTGCTATAGTATTATTACACTTTAACCACCTACAGCAACATGCTGCTAACATATTCATGCATCAACCATGAAAATTGAAAACACCAGTTTCTGTAAAATCATTATGCATTGAATGCTTTCACTTTTAATTTGTTCTACAGGCTACGCTTTGTTTATCCATAGTTTCTCCTGAATATATTTTGCACATTTGAAAGAAGGGCTTTTACTTAATAATGGAACATTTTTACGCTGTGGTATTGCGACTTCAAGTGGAGAGCATTACTACTTCTCCCACCCTTTGATCAACCACGATATCAAATAAAGGTCATGCTGCTCCTCCTGCTGAAGTGAGCTATTCTGTATGTCGGCCTATACTCAACTGTATCTTACATTAATAAAAAATAAACGAAGAATATCTAGTTTTTCTAAATAACTCCAACATGTTCACTCTGCCTTGTACGCACGTGTATTGAGCTTGACAGATAATCATTTCTATCTCATGATCCATCATTGTGAGTATAGTTGGCTATCTGCAAGGACTCGATTCATATAATAACTACATAACAAACAATTCAATCTGAGAGGTATTATTAATCCCAACAATGCAAAGCCGTGACAGATGCTTCCCTTCAGTCATGTATTTAATGAGATCTCAGATGGCCAATTGCGTCTCAAAACTGTCTGAAAAAAAAAGGGGAAAATATGAGAATCCAAACGATGGTGGTGTCTGCGCGACAGACTGCTCAGTGATGGCCAGCATCTCAGCAGAAATCATCCCTCAGATACTTCATCTTCGACAGAACATCCCCCGAGAGGAGCAAACATGACTAACAAGCAAGGATCCATCTGTTGTAAACACTGAGCAAAACAGACCCGACTGCCACAAAGCAACTTTAACGCACCTACATGCCAAAGTGCCCCTGCGAACGTGAATATATTGCAGTCAGTGTTCTGATAATGAGTCAGCGCTGACCGGTGGCAAGGTCGAATCTCTGTGATCATTTGAAATTATAATGATGAGCAAAACTGTTCTAATTCTGGTCTTTCCACAGTAATATGTTTGTGCATGGTGGTTACAGCATTAACGCTGAAAAATCAAGGACATCCAAGTCAACCACAGTAAAGCCTCAAAGATCAAAACAGTTTGGTCTTACTGTAAGATTTGCTAAGCTGCTCCCTGATGTTAAGTAGTGCTGACAAAGCAAATATACACTGATTTGTCTTTTAAACGTCTCCTGAACTATAAAAGCTAAAAATAATCATAACTCAACTCATTATTTTATGGTCTTTGATGTTTCCCAGTCGCATGTCAGAGCTACCTGCCTTCCTTAGACCTATGTAAAGACAGCAACACCTCCCTCACATTGAACGTACCAGTTTGTATTTATCAGAGATCACAAAGGGGAAATGTGCACTGTGCATGAGACTGTTAAAGCTTGCATGCATTCTGACACCCTCATACACACAAACACGCACACACAAAAACACACAACACAGCCTGAGAGGAAATACGGGGCAGCTGATTCCATGTGAGCTAATTCATTCAGTCACTGTATGTCCCCAATCAAAGGCTGGTCCCCACAGGCCAGTGCAGCATCTGCATGTGCCCCCATTGCTCTATCTGCCTGGCTTTCATGTTGCTCTCAAGGGACTCAGACATTTTCTCAGCCTGTCAAGTTTGTCCTGTTTAATTTGTGCTACACATTTTACCACAATTAAGAAAGAAAAGCACAGAAAAGAGAATTATTAAAATAGTTCTCAACCAAGTTCAAAAGCCTGAAAAAGGAAAAAAGAATCCCTAACCATACCCTTATCACTTTCCTTTCATGTGGTCCAACCCTCAGAGTGGACAGAGATTACAGGGATAACACATTAAATTTAGAGGGAAGTATTTTTTCTGTGCTGAGACACTTTATTTAGACATTAAAATGAATGAGAAATCAATTTACAAGACCTTAAGCGCACCATGTCCTTGGCTTTCTACATCAGTTTGGTGGAAACCGTATGCAATTAATTTATTTCCATATGCCAATGTGAAAATAATAAGTGTGAGTAATCCTCAGGGAGATTTAGACCAAGTGCAAGGGGACGGCTGTAATCTTATAATCCTCTGTAATGTTCTAATGGTCTCTCTAAGCTTATCTACACTAAACTAACTTTCCCAGAGGTATGCAAACACAGATACAGATGGACCAAAAGAAGTAATGTGACTAATGCTCCCTGTGTAACTCAACAATCTCTTCTGCCGAGCTTTATAATAAAATCTGTGATCCCAGTAAAATAAAATCATATTGTGTCATTGCAGAAGTTACCTATGAACGTGTTTTCAGACCTTTGTCTAAGATCAAATAAATAAAAACTTTCAAAAATAAAATATCTGATTGTAAAACATACAAAATTCTATATAAAAATAATAAATAATAGTAGTCCAGGGTTTGACAAGATAAAAATTTCCATCCACAGCAAACATAATATCAAAGGTTTTAAAGATAATGCTGCATCCATAATGCTGAAGCATCCTATTGTCCGGAAAAAGCTGCAGCTGAAGCGGGTGGTGACCGGAGCGGCTGCAGGAACTCAGAGGTGAAGACGGCCTCAGCATACTCCTCCACGACATCCTGAAACTCTGCTGCCACGTCAGCCAGAGCCTCCGACAGCAACTCGTCAGCCAAGCTGTGAGAGGATAAGAGGTGCAGATGTTAGAAAACATGGTTATTTTCCTTAAATCATATATAACCTGTATAAAAAAAAAGTCTTCTAAAATTTGAAAATGTATACGCTTCAATTTGGTAGAATTCATTTGTGGCATCAAAACAAATCACATATGACAATGGTACTTATGTTGCTACTGCTCCTGCTATTTTTGGTCTTCTCACAAGATTTTAGGCTAGAAATTTTGAAAGACATGCAAAATAAAAAGGTCAGTGGGCCTGAAAACAATGGCAAATGCAAATCACTTGAAACATGTCCTTTGTGCGCAGTGGTTATAATTTCAAAGTAAATGTAAATCATCAGTCTTGCGTCATTATCTTCAAAAATGCAGAAGGTCAAATTAAAGCCGATTTCTCTGAACAAATGTGGTATCTGTTTTTTTAAGAGGTGCACATGCAAAACTTAGTTTAAAAACATAAAACAGAGCAAAATAACTCTGAAGCCTCGTGAACTGTGTGCAGCACCAAGCTAAATTTCAGTGTTTGATCATTATCTGGGTCAGCACACACGCACGCACGCACGCACACACTCAGGCAGAGACTGAGGCAGGGACATAGAGGATGAGGGAAAATGGGAAACACTTTCACATATCCACTGAAACGTCAGTGCAACAAAACTATCAGAGTAATTGTGCGTTTTTGAACTCCCTGTTCCTCTAAAGGGTCATGACAAGAACACTTTGCTCACAGCACCATATAGCGAGAGAAATCCAGAGAAGAATGTGCCGCTGTGGTTTGGGAACAGGCATTATAAAATATCATTAACATCAATATACAAGGAACCGTGCTTGCCCTTCTGAATTACTCCAAGTTATCTTTATATTTAACACACCAGTAACTGCACAGTGTACCGTTTATGCTAATGTATGAAAATCAGAATAAAAAAGCAGATTCATACAAAGTGAACTAGGATCCTAGGACCCTACCACTAAGTTTTATTTACATGCATAAAGAAATTCAAATAGCTGTTTTGGCAGTGCTGACGTCTTTCTATCTTGCAATCAGTCTGTTAGCAGACAGAATGAATGAGATCCTCCAGGTGGTAAGGCTCCACAGCAGCACAGGGCTGCTCATTACCATCTCATCACACAGAAAGCTTTCTGCGCTGTGTCAGAGCAGCAGGGGTCATACTAGTCTATACGTATGCCTTCTCCGTCTCCAAAAACACTGAGATAATTGGATGGTTTCTCACGCAATATCTTGTTGTTGTTTTTTCTAAGTACAGATTCATGTCTTAAAAACTTTGGCTTTTTGATGTGAAACTGATAATGAGCCAGTGACACAGTCAGCCAGATGCCATGGGTGGGACTGGACAGTTTTTCAGATCTAAACTTAAGAAAGACAGTTTATCGAGCTGTTTGGTATCCCACGCAAGTCTGTGACGCAGAGGAAAGAAGATTTCAGAAGTTTAGAACTCATATATTAAACGCATAAGTTCAATATGTTCACAATGATGGCACGAAGCCAGCGTTGCACCAGCAGCGGCCTGTCAAGTATGTAAGTTTGTGAGTGGGAGAGAAGACCGGCGGCGAACAACAGAGGCGCACTATGCAAACCATAAACTCTGCATGATCCTCTCTGAGTGAGCGCCTCCTGCTGTGCACAGTGTCCGTCAATCGCATCCAGGGACAAAATAAATAACAGAAAGGA